TGGACGTGTGTTGTGGGGGAGGCAGTGACTGGGAGCAACACGGCCTCCTTCTCCAGTTTCCACAGGAGGAAGGAGCATAACGGATTGGCCTCCGGTAAATGCCCTGATCCAACGGAGGGATGTACAGATCAGTGAAAGGGGAGCATGCTGAGGTTCTACCACACAGCGCATTCCCTAAGAGACCTGGAGCTTTGTTCTGCTTTTTCTGTTCACTTGAAAATGTGTGCACATTCACGTAAGAGGAATATTTGAAGGCCCCGGTGCTAGAATGGTTAGGGCATTGGACTGGGACTTGGAAATTCCCATGTTTCCGTCCCCACTCAGCCAGGGAGTTCACTGGCTGACTTTGGGCCAGGCATGGACTCTCGGCCTAACCTACCTCACAGGTTGTTGTTGTGAAGAAAAAATGGAGAGGAGAATTATGTACATCAGCTTTGGTGGGGAAAGGCAGGCTATACATATAGCAAATAAATGGGGTGATGTGAATCAGAACTGCTGTGCAGGGGAAGGGAGAGTTCATTCTCCCCCTCCCCACTCAGACCTCCCCCTCCCCCGAACACACACACACAAATGCATCAGTTAGCGAGAATTAGTGCCCATGGGGCATCTTACTGTCACTGTAGGAGATGACTGCACGAGGAGGGGATGTGGCTGGGAGGAAAAGGGTTAACCCTCCCCTCTCTCCACATGCTGCAGCCCTGCTCGGGGCCCTCCAGATATAGATAAGAGGCTGGACATAAATGCAACATGATAACAACAGCTACAACATCACTTTCATGCACATTTTCCCAAATGTACACATCAATTGTGTGCATTTTTTGAAGTGTGTGAATCTCCCCACATGCTTTTCCAGCACCTGCAATTCTGAAGACATTTTTCGTTGGCCAACCTGAGCTCAGAGCTTTTGGGAGAGTGGCAGTGTTTTTTTGGTGGGGAGAACAGACCATGCGGGACCTGACAGGGCATTGACTTAGATGGACCAACGAGCGACTGATTTCTTGCTGGAAAGACCATCTGCTCTTCATCCCAAGCACAGGACCAGGTTCCTTCCCCCTGAAGATGGGGCTCAGCCTTCAGAGCTGCTCACGGAAATTAGAATTTCTACCTTGACCACATGCATGCTTTTAAAAGAGGGCACACTCGCTAACAGCCCTGAGGGTGATGATGTGAGCTGATGAGTGTGAATTTGCTCTTCCAGTTGTGCAAAGCAGAGTCCACCCTACCTTGATTTTGGAGCAGGGTGCTGCTTGCTCCATCTCTCTGGCTTCTGCTCAGCCCACCCCAGGCCCTGGGTATGTGAGTACCCTGAGAATGCAACTTTGCTCCCCATGGATCTGCAGGTATTTACTTGCATGTACACGCATGCCGCTGTGTGTGCATATGCACATGCACTTTGCATGTGTCCGAATCCCACCATCCCACACTGAACTGGGGCTTGGGGGGCAGTTTAGGAGGTGTCTGAATTACGCCTCCTGGACAGACCACATCTGAGGCGGAGCACTCCTGGAGGTTTAGGATTCCGAAGAACAAGGAGAGTTGGACAGGGTGTCTCTGAGAAGAGATCCATTTCCCCCAAGGCTCTGCATATCAGGGAAAGCTCATGGTGGGAAGAGGAGGTGGAAAAAGAGGGAGTGGAGGTTTGGGGTGGGTGGCTTTGCTGTTGATTGAACATTAAGGGCTTGACCGGGGCTCTCCAATCCCAGGAATTCCTCTTGCGCTCCGTGTGCAGTGCAATTTCTCCATCCCATGAGCAAAGGGATTTGATTCGGCTTCTGCAACCTGGTGATGTGCAGCCCATCTGGATGTTACCCAGTCCTTCCTCTGCTTTGAATGCTGCAGACCCAGCGTCTACCCTTGTCCAGCTGCGCTTTCTGTGCTTTTGGTGCCAGTTGAGCACCAAGGAACCCAAGACTGTAAACCACATTTGAGTCATCCTACCTTGTCTTTCTGAAATTTTGCAAGATGCCTCTGGGACATATGCAGTTTTTACTGAGGGGGAAACCACTGGGCATAACCTCACCCTTATTTCTTTATTGACGGTATTTTGATTAGACAAGCTCTCAGAACTGTGCACAGAATATACTTTACAGTATCACATAACAATCTGAAAACAAATTTAAAACAATCTTGCCTGTCATAAAACCATAAACATAAAACAAGCCCCCTGGATCTATTTATCTGGAACTTGAGATGTTTGTCACTTTCACCCAGTTCTGCTTAGAAAGAAAAAAAATTTCCAGCAGTTCCCCTAAATATATATATATATAGATCTCTGTCTGTCTGTCTCTCTCTCTCTCTCTCTCAAGGAAGGAAGGAAGGAAGGAAGGAAGGAAGGAAGGAAGGAAGGAAGGAAGGACCCAACTCTTCCCACCTGTTTGCCCGAGCTTTGGGAGGGACAGCCTCTTCAAAAAGGACTCTAATGCCTCAAAATGTCATTCTATTCTGCCAAATACATAAAATGGTGAATGAAGAAAGAGCATTATTATTATTATTTTAACAGAGAAGGGAAACATGAGGAGATGAGAAGGTAAGAAAGGAAAACAAAATCCGCTACTGCTAGCAATCATGATGAATGAGTGTTCCAAGTCAACCAAAATGGCAAGTGAGGAAGAACTGAAGGAATGGGTGGGTAGCCCTAAAATATATTGACCCTGAAGGTGTGGGAGGGTTCCCCACCAAAATTTGCTCAACTGTAGATAGAAACCTCCTGAAGTTAGGCTCCACGAGCCCCCAACACCCACCAATATGTCTGATGCTCAGAGACCACAAAGAAGAATTTGGAATTCTAAACTCAGATTTCAATTTGGAGCCAAGTTTTGGCCTGTTTTCCAAATCCTTAGATCAAGGCTCAGACTGAATCTTGTGGTCAGTACACACCTTTCTGAAATACCATTTAATTATGTAGTGTTTGCCTTTTGAAACAGCAACTGCTGTTTCCGGTTAGTTTGGGCTTTGCTTTTTGTTTTGCAGTTGGTTAAAAGTGAAGCTGCTTGCCTGACACTGCTATCGATTCAAACTTTCCTTGCACTTAAATTCATGGCTCAGTAAACTTGTATGGCACAAGCAAGCTTGCTCTGGATTTTTCCAGTCATTCACCACATCCAAATATTTTTCTCCATCTGTAGGTTTCATCCAGGAGTCCATTCAGGCACAGATTTTCAGTGGGCCACAATGCTCACAGTTAGCTCTGAGGACTAGCTCCATTTTTTCCCAATTAGCTCCAAGAATTTGTGTGCAACGATTTTATGAACAGCACCTACCTATTGTGTGCATGATTCCTACCTATCTGCTCCTCTACTACCCAGTAAGGTGCATTTGCTGAGAAAATCATTTGCGCTTAAGAACATATACTCTGTGAGGTGCAGATGCATCATCTTGATCCACACTGATTGATTGATTGGATTTCCAGCCTGCCCCATTAGTCTCCGGGCATCTCAAGAAGCCAGAGGCCTCCTTGAACGGTGCAATTCAAGGAGGCAAGTCCCATTGTGTTCAAGTAAGCAGATGAAGAATGAAGCTTTGCCTTTAAGACAGTGATGTCCATAAACCTAGGAGGGGGTTCTGTGCCTATTCACTTCCAAGTAAACATATCTACAATTAAGGGGTAAGGCTGCAATTGCATGTTTAGTTGCGTAGGAAAAACAAAAACGCTATTGAGCTCAATGGAATTCACTTCTAAGTAAACACACATAGCAAACATTCATAGCAATAGGTGAATGCTGCATTTCTATACACAGGTTCAGTTCTAAACACAGGCTTTTCTGAAGTACACACCCTAAAGAATCAGGAAAATGAGCAAGTGAAACTAAGTTCTGGAGAGAGACATTCTATGAAGATATTTCTCCTTAAACTACTCCGTCAGTTTCTTGATTTTTCAGTTAAATCACTCTTTCTTGCCAGCTCTAATTGGCAGAAGAGATGATGACGGCAATTAAAAAATAGCAAAAAGCTTAGAATCTGTGCCTCCTATAATTTTTCTTTCTTTCTAAAAGGGATACATGATATATGTGTATATGCAACATCAAAAAGGTTTGGGATCTTTTGCATACCTGAACTGGTCAACATAAACTGGTCCTTATAAGTAGGACAATTCTGTATATGACTATCCTGTGCAAGCTCGGAAAAACTACACACGATAGAACTGGATGCAGCATTCAGTTTCTTGTGGACCTCATTGTTGTTTTAAAGCAAGTTTCTAGCCCCTGTTGCTGGGAAGGAATTCTTGCAATTCCTGGTTAAAAAGTGCAAGAATTCCAATCTGATTAAGATTTCTAGATGTCAGAGAAGATGGAGTGACATGCTTTGCACAATTCCCTGCCTCCTTAGCAGTAGGAATAATTTAGGGAGACAAACTAATGTAAAGCAAGAGAACTCAAAGACATTGGTCTGATTGGTGTAATTTGCTCGGTTTGCTGAGTTCAGCTTTGAACTTTATTTCTTCAGTGCAGAGAACACTCAGCCCTGTTTATAACCTGACCTTTAGGACCATTTCACACATTATATGGCGAAAAAGTAGGGAATAAAGGCTAAGCCCAACTCACTACTTCTGCAGTTGTCCCTGAATGGTCCACACACGTGTAAATATGACCTGTTTTGTGCATGCCACATTTCTCCAGTGTGCACTTAAGATGAAACATCTTCAGCCCTTCCTCTGAAGAAGATCATCCTGTGTGAAACAGCCTTCAAGCAAATCCAAGCAGCTCTCTCCGCACAGTTCAGCATGCTTGCTTCGGTCTTTTGGGAGCGGCGTCACGCAACGACTCCAAACTGTAGCGCAACACGAGGAGTCGAGCATGCGCTAGAGAGAAGCTGTCATCTGCTGTGTGACAGAGGAAAGCTTATGGCTTTATAGGAAAATGAGCGTCTGCTTGCTATATTTTTCTCCTCTTTTTTTCTAAGTCACTAATCTCTGATCTCTAGGTATTAAACATAGCCAGGGCTGGGTGCAGTTTAGACAGCTGCCAGCAACAACACAAAGCAAAACAGGCACAGGGACTGACCTGGATGACGACCTTAAGTGTGGAAGCCTCCACGATCTGGGTGCAGATCAGCGAGGTCGGGTCCTCGGGGGCCTTGTACACCTCCCCCATGGTCATGATCATCGGAATGGCCAGCAGGAAGGAGGCAACCCAGATGCAGCTGATGAATTTTTTGGTCCTGCTTCGGGACATGATGCTCTTGGCTTTGAAGGGGTGGCAGATGGCCATGTACCTCTCGACGCTGAGGCTGGCGATGTTGAGAGCCGTGGCGTAGGTGCAGGCATCCCTCAAGAAGTAATAGCCCTTGCAGATGTCATTTCCGAACGCCCAGGGGTGGTGCACCCAGATGAAGTTGTACAGTTCAATGGGCATGCAGAGGAGGAAAATCAGCAGGTCGGAGAACGCCAGGCTGGCCAGGTGGTAATGCACGGTGCTCTGCAGGTTCTGCAGGGACTTCTTCCGCACCAGGGTGTAGGCGGTGATGGAGTTGCCGATGGTCCCCACCAAGAACAGCACCAAGTAGATGACCGTGACCATGACTTTGGAGTAGATGTCCGTGTTGACGTCGAGGTCCTCCTCGTTGGGCACCCGGGACCCCAGTGTGGAATTGCTGGAGAGGTTCCCGGGGGTAGGCACGGCATCGCTGGTGGGCTGCATGTGGAACTGCCCCAAGAGGAATCCCGGCTGGTGCAGCGAAGAAGTTGTGTTCAGGCGCATGCCGTGGCCGTCTTCCGAGCAGCAGGGCAGGTGCTCCGGAGTTCCGCTGAGGACGTCCTGGCAAAGGTGCTCCGACCCGGAGTGTGGCAGCCTCGGAGGAAGGCTCAGCCTGGCGGAGGGAGGCGGCGGTCTTTGCAGAGGCGTGACGGGCACGTTGCTGCCAGCGAGGCGAGGACCAGGCTGCCACTACAAGCCCGAGCTGGAAACTTGTCTCGCTTTAAAGCGACGGGGAGGAGGCGCTTGCTGACAAGCCGCTCTTTCCCTCCTTGCACGGCAGAGGGGATCGGAAGAGCCGTTCTCGGCAGGCTGGCGCGGAAACCGCTCCGAGGAGGCAGACGGCGGTTTCTCGTCGTGAGCGCTGCTCGAGGCAGCGAGCATCTCCCGTGCCTTCCCCTGTAATGCCCCCCTCTCGGCCCGGCTGGCTGTTTGTGCGTGCCTCCTCCTCCTCCTCCTCCTCCTGCATTCTCCAGATGTGAATAGCGCTAATGTGGTTTAGCAGGACAGTAATCTCTCCCCTCCCCCTCCCCTCTCTCTTATTCCCAGGATGAGCAACAGAAAGCAAAAGAGAACCGGCCGTTCTCCCGGCCATCCTATGTCTGTCTTCAAGTTCCTGAATTTTTACATAAGACGGATTTGACTTTATCCCCCCCCCCCCCGCCAGTGTTTGCACGGTTTTTGAAGACGTGCGTACTGCAAAGAATTAGATGCATTCGTGCAGTAGATCTTGAGATTGGGCAGCGTTGTGGCTAGGAAGGGTCCCCCAAAGGGTCAAGGAGTGGGAGGATGTAAGGTTGCATCCCAACCTTGTTTTTGGGGTTGTTTTGGATACAACCCAAACAACCCAACCCCTTGAAAATGCAGTGGGTTCCCCCCACCCACAGCAACACTCATTATCTGGTGGATGACTATGTTGGGGCACGGAAGGGATCCCCCCCTCCCTCAGCTAGTGCAATTTAGGGATTAAAAGACTGAATTCTACACCCAGAAGTCTTAAGTGCAAATCTTGCACCTGCCAACTCACTAAATGCCCTGAGACAAGTCTCTCTTGTTTCCATCTGGACTCACACAGGTGCATCTCCTGCTTTGTTTTCAGGGTCCCTGAAATGGCACGAGCCCTTTGAACGCCTGGATCAAAACCGCAGATGGTGTTTCTTTGCTCAGATCTGCAAAGCGATTCTGGATGCTTGTGTGTCTTGGCTCACTTGCCTGAGTGCGGCAATGGCTTAGGTCTTCTCCCCACCTCCTTGCCTTGTTGGCTTGACCTGTATTCTGGGTTCTGGAAATGGAGTGACCTTCCAGAACCAGAAAACCCCCTGGACTATCTGAGCCCATGTGCAAGCCAAAGCCCATGTTCCACTGGGGTCAACTGAGGTGCCTCCTCTGATCTCTGGAGAGCCCTCAAAGGGCACCCCACTGTCTCAGGTGGCAGCTGTGGCCAAGGTCCCTTTCCTGCTCCACTTCTCTCCCCTTCCTCTATTCCACCCCCTCTTGTGCCTTTGGGTTTCATGCACCTGGCAGGAGAAACGAGAGGAGGGAGGAGAGAGATGTCACCATCCTGTGCATGGCTGGCCAGCAGGGAAGCAGCAAATGCCTCTAGAACAGCTCGGCCAGGTGTCCCACAGGAAGCAGTCCTCTGTTTCAAGATGTCCCCTGTTTGAAGGGTTGTTGAGTCCAAGACTGGTTTCAAGGCAACATGCCAGGCGAGGGGAAAGCCACCAGGACAACAGCAGGCCCTGCTGGAAGATCAGGCTGGCCCATCCCGTCCGCCCTATGGGAAGAGCAGCTCCGTCAGCTTTCCTGAGGCTCCAATATCTGTCTGGCTTTAAAACCTGAACAACGCCCCCCCCCCCCCCCACACTGCCAATGCTATCTACAGCCTGCCTTTGGAAGTTCAGAAATGTCTGCATGAAAACCAAATCTCACATTACTCAATCATCAAGCAGGTAGCTGAGGCCTGTCTGCTCTACCTGCTCTGGTGTAGGCATGTGTGATGTGAATTCAGACTGCTGCTCTGAGAGAGTTACACCTTCCCTGCATTCCACCCACCCCACCACCAGTGCAGAGTTGGGGAAAGAAAAAGGTCTCCATTGCCGTCCTTTTTCGGTGATGTGTTTCCTTCTTCTTGGGGATGCATATGCAGCCGCCTTTTCAGGGCTGGGTGGATTGCAGCCCTGGTGCCTTCCTGCAAGTATCCCTTAGCTTAATTTCAAGAGGGCCCTGCAAACGATCCAGAGGGATCTGGCTCTATCCTGGAAGCCTGCTGGATGGGGAAGAAAAAGGAGACGGCAAGAGGGAGGGGAAAGGCATCTGAGAGAGGAGGAAAGGGATGGCAAAGGGGGTAGCAGAAGATGAAGGAAGAGAGGTGGCCCTGCTCGCTTTTGACTCTGGCCCCAACAAGATATGCCCCCATCCCCAAAGGACTGTGGCCTTCACCAGACAAAAGGATGTCCCATTCCTATTTAGGCTGGGTTTACTCGATCCCTGCTTGTGTGGCCAGCTCCCATGCTCACCCGTACAAGTGTTTCATTCCATATTTATTTCTTAATTTGCTGCAATGGTCCTGAAAGCGGTGCAAACACAGTGAGAAATAAGGACTTTGGATCTGCCCTAAACAAATAACGATGAGTCCACAAGAGCCAGGATGGTTTCCTGGAGCCATGCCAGAGCCTGATGGTCTTCCACTGGTTAGGTGGAGGACCAGAGTTCATGCCTTGGAGCTGCTTCCCCAGGTGTACTCCTTAGAGAAGAGCTGGTTTTGGCTGTGAGAACCAAAATGACTTTCTTTACTAAAGCAGTTGTCTTCCAGGAATGGAGAAGGTCAGAGCCTGGTGCACTGAGAACTTCTGAAACAGCAAGACAGAGGAACTTTATAAAGTTCATGGCAAGAAGCCTTCTGTTCTTAGGTTGTGGAGAGAAATTTTGGATGCCCACAGAGCATTCTCTGCCTATTTAGGGAACCAATAAGGCCCAGGGAAGGGGAATATAAAATTTCTTTCCTTGTTTATATTCTGCATCCATATTTATATTCAATAAGCTGCAGATCACCTTTGACACTGGCGGTTTAATTTCTTCTGAAGTATCCTCATCTAAAGTTGCTGGATGAAGGCTCCTAAGGACTGAAACAATAACGAAATCTGGATTCTCCTTCTCCAAAGCACCTAAAATATAGGTGCTTTAAAACTGAAAACAAGGACACTTCCTGCTTGCACTGTTACAGCCAAATAGAAATGACAGAGAAAGAGAACGGAGGGTGGGGATCCAAACGAAAAAGCAGCAAACATCAATAAATACTATCAGGAAGGCCACTGCTGCTCTCCTCCCTCAATCTCTCATGAAAGTTTTAGTGTGAGAAAGCAAGCAAAGGAAGATGATATGGGCAGGAGATCCGCAGCCTCGCCAGCGTTGGAAGGAAAAACCCGGTGTCACAGCTGTTTAAGCTGTGGGAGCAAAAACACTTTGGCAGCAAGTGTGTAAATAGCTCACTGGGCCCATCACGGGGGGCTTGGCAATGCTCTCTGCTTTGAGATGGAGCCAGTCAATGAAGGCACTTCTGGTTTCCACAGCCTCTATTTTGGAAAGGGAGCCTCTGCTTTGTACTGCAGGGCAGAGGTTGCCCAAGCCTCTCCGCTCCGCTGGCGACCAGACACCCCGAGCCATCCAGATAATTTCTCACACGTGGCCACCCTTCTGCCCCTCTTCAGCAAGTCCATTTGACTTCCTCCCTGGACTGTCCCTGGCATCCCTGATGCATTTGGCCAGGGACTTGGATTGGAGCTGGGAGGGGAAGGGCTCGGAAGCCGCAGCCGTGGCTCTTAATGTTGCCTGATGTCATGCTGGAAGCATGGCTCTGGGTACTGTGGCATCAGTTCTGTATCTGCTGCTATTCCCAGCGACAGGAGAGGAAGCCTGGCTGAATAGCTGAGTCGGAGATTATTACCTGCATCAGCAAAAGAGGAAAGCGCGCGCGCGCACGCACACACACACACACACACACACACACTTCAGCTCACTTGGATGGGGGAATAATGGCTACGTGATGTAAACTCCTAACACGGCAAAAGGCCCTGGATAATTGAAAGGGCTTTGATATATCTCTACCTATGTATAGTCTGGCATTTATCATGATTGTGTAGAGGTGGATGGGGTACACAAATCAGTGTAAATTCAAAGTATATTGAAAATATCCCCCACAAATTATGGGGCAGGGGAGGAGAAATGGAGAGGACCTCAATGCAATCTTCTGACTCCAAATTAACCACATCAGCGCCCTCTCACGATAGCATTTAAAAACAGCAGCTAGGGGTCAGCAGGTATGTATCTTTCCCCACCCTTTGCTCCCCACCTGATATACTGAACTACAGCTCCCAGAATTCCTGACCATTAGACCATCCCTAAGGATCTTAGTGGGGCATCTATGGATGACTCCATTTTATCCACACAACAACCCTTTGAGGTTGTGACTGGTTCATAGTCAGGGAATGACTTTATGGCCCAACGCCAAGACTCCCTGAGCATCGCCAAATACTCTTAAGTACTGTGCCAAATCAGCCTGCATTTTTAACTACAGCTTGTCTTGTGCATTTGGGCAGATCTAAAATTGTGAGATAGCAGATGGCCAACCCTGAACCAGAGATCCCTTTTTGGTTTTGTTTTCGCACGTACATTGGTCCCAGCTTCTTTAAAGGAGATAAGATATGACAGAAGGCAAGGCTCCTGTACAATTAATTTTAAATAATTGTATTTTATGGTTTAAGTCAGGGACTGCTTACAGAGCTTCAGCTATGGGGAGGAAGGCAAATGTAATTAATGAACACAGAAATGCACCACTATTTATTTATTAAAACTTTTTTTATCTGACCTCTCAAGTGAACATGGCTGAGATGGCATACAATGGTTGAAAATCCTAAAATAACAACAGCAGCACAAGACATTTCAACAGGAGAATAAGGAAAGCAGAGCAAAAGACAATTTAAAACAGCACAACATGGAACTGAGTTGGA